AGCGGCGCTGCGTTGGGTGGGCAGTGCTCTCCGCGGCGAGACACACAGCACGACTCTTGACCGCGGCGCTCACGCACTTCCCTCCACTCCTCTCCCTCCATTCGGCAACCGCATAGCCGCCGGCACATTGTCCCCGAAACAACACACACTGGAAAGCGTCGCGGCATATCTCTCGAGACAACAGAGCGACAGCTACACACTGCGGCCATCGTGCAGAGAGGTGTGCCCTCGGACAAATTTGTTTTGGGGCCACGCACACCCCCGCAGGGATCAACCACAGCAACGCACAAAAAAAAAAAAAAAAAGAGAGCCACGCACGTGAAAGGGCAGAAAAACACGCAGCAGAGGTGCAGGACGGAAAAAGAGAAAAAGAGAAGGCCAATAAGACTCGAGATCGCACGGCAACCCACAATACGATTAAAGAAACAAAAAGAAACAAAAAAAAAAAAGAAATTAAAACGCAAAAAACAGTCCCCTTGAAGAAGTTTTTCACGCTCACAAAAAAAGAAAAAAAAAATCATCGTGACGCAAAAAAAAACAAAGAAAAAACACTTGTATATTCTTCCTGCAGAAGTAAAAATATATTTGCGTCAGCCGTTCAACCCCCTGGTGTCCACACAACACCCACATTTCATTGGGATGTTCAGTGCGTTGCTGCACATCTTAAATCCCTTCTTCACCGCACCATCGTCGTGGAGCTCAATGCCGACGGAAACATCAAAGACATCCCGCCAATCTCAAAATATTCCACTACAATATATATATATATATATATATATATATATAAGAAAAAAAAAAAAACCAGGCCCCGCGATGCAGTCCCGGGAGGGAGAGCACGCCATTTACACAACGACTTACACGGGCAGAAAGGGGTAGTCCAATCGACAATAAAAACAGATAAAACAAAAGGTATATCCACACAAAAGTCAATTATTTCGGAGGGTACGTGGAGAGGTACATATAGCTCCCGCTGGTGGCAGGAACTCCTCACTGCGATTTCTCAGTAAATGGCCGCAATGCCCCACATCCCCAGCAGAAGCAGCGGGAGCACCCGAGACATGCCCTCACGCATGGAGCCGTCACCGCTTCCTTTTTTATCTTCACTGTCACCGCTTTCTTTTTTGTCTTCACTGTCACCGCTTTCTTTTTTATCTTCACTGTCACCGCTTCCCTTTTCTTTTTTATCTTCAACTTCCTTGATCATTTTTAGTTCACCGACACTCAGTGGGCGGTTGTACAGAAAGACGTCCGTCAACGTCGCATCGCTGCCGCTGTCTCCCTCGTCGCCCCCAAAGTAGAAATGTGAGAATTCAGTCCACCGCTCCTCAGGTGTTGGTAACATCGCCGGGTTCCCCACAAGCACACCATCCACGTACACGAAGCCCTTGTTGCCGTCCTGCAGCATGAGCGCCACCTGGTATTCTCTCCCCGGCTCCCAAGTGCCACCCTGTACTGTTTTTGTCCCGTCATACACTGTCTCCCACTTACCGCCCGCACCGTACGACAAACCAATTAACTTCGTCCTCTTATTGCCCCTCAGACTCGCACCCAGCAGAGGAGTGCTCTCACTCGGAACCTGGTGTATAGTCGCCATCGCCACAATAGTGAAGTTGTAATCCACAAAGCCGTACTGTTTAATATCCCACCGACTGTTTACGGGCCATGTTGCCCTGGACCCAGGCCCCGTGAACTTGAAACCATTTTCAACCTTCGCTGCCTTCGTCACCGTTGCATTCATGCAACGGTACCCGTCGATCCACGTGTCTCCACTGGACGTCGTATTGGACAGGAATCCAACCAGACCAGCCGTGGGTATAGACGACTCGGAGAAGGAAGCGTCCAACTGTACCCAAGTACTAAGGACAGAATTGATCGTATTCAGCTCCTCCGTTAGGCGGGCAAGTGAAACGGCTGTGCTTGTTTGAATGCCCCTCTGTTGTGAAAGATAAAGCCCATCATCCGAGTAGAACAAGGTGTTGGCAAACGTCTTATTCTCAGCACTGTCCACAGAAAACGGTCCAAGATGAAAAGTGCGGTTGTTGTCCGTGACCCAAAGGTGGAGTGCGTTGGGTTCATCCACTTCCAGAAAATGCCTCACTTTCTGAGTGTACAGCATGACCTTCCTTCCCTCAATGGTCGCGGTGATGAGAGCATCAACACGCAAACTTACTTCCGGAAGTTCTGGACCTGATTTGAGCCACACGCCTGAGAGTGTTCTGACAGCCTTCGTCCACGTTTTCCCCATGTCACGCGACTCAAACACCTTGCGGCCATCCTCGCAATAAGTAACCATGAGAAATGTTCCCTCCTCCCATTCGGTGATGCGGGGGGAACGGCAGCCCACAGAAGAAACGCCCCCTGGTATCTCCCACTTTTGGCCGTCGTCCGTCGAATAAGTGATTAGGGAGACAACTTTATTATTTTCATCCTTTGCCGTCAGGGGAAACACAAGTGTGCCATTCCCCATCACAATTCCTGAGCCACCACCACCCAAAAATTCCTTTAGGTCACCTTTATTATTAGGAGAGTCAGTTTGGAACAGCGGTTTGGGTTCACTCCAGTTGATCGGTTGAGTCGGCTGAACTTCCGTGGACTGCGTGGCCTCACCCTCAATCACTTTAATGTTCCATGCCTCGGTCTTCCAAGTATCATCATCATTTTCACGCCACTCTTCATAGCTCCCCACTAGCAGAAACACTTTATTGTCCCTTGTAATTCCGGTGGGTAGCCTCGCAACACCCACACGATACTTACGATTATTCGCACTCTCAAGGACAGTGTGTGCCTGCCAGTCATCTTTGGTTACCTCAGCAACAAGAGACTGCCATGTCTCTGGAGCCTTGATGTAACCGGCAACAATATCAGAAGAACTGAGATCAATCGCTTCTGGAAAATCTGTATGTTTGGTGCGGCCTTCGACAAATGCAATCATCACTCCACCAGCACGGACGAGAGCGGGTGAAGCAAAGATATCCTTCACTTTGCCTTCACCACCACTTTTTGGTACCACCTGCGTCTTCTTCGGCACAAACATGGCGATCTCCTGCGGCAGTTGCAAATCCCCTGACGCTGCCTCATCAGCGGTCGCAGCTCCACCACTGCCGCAGCACATCATCACAACGACAAGGAGGAGCAGCACCGTGGAATTAAACACACGCCGGGACATGTTGGGCCTCGGCGGCTCACTCTCTCTTCCTTCCCTCCTCCTTCCGCTGGATCCGGTCACGCGGCGACGGTTGTGTGTGCGGGGTGCCTTCACTGCAGCAACACGTGAGAGCATATAAATATGTGTGTGGGCGGTGTGTGTGCTGTTGTTGGTCCTTTCAGTACCTTCGAATTTCACAATAGCGTTTAGCGTTTGGTAGTAACTTTCTTCCTTCTTGAAGGAAAGCAACAAAAAACAGCGGAAAAAAGGCAACACAACAGCAGTACACACCGCCACCACTCAAAGCGAACCACACCATCAGCGTCCCCGCAGCCATTATTCTCCCCAGCACTTCTCAACAGCACACAAAAATTAAGAAAAACAATTGGGCAGCCTCCCAATGGGGACCGCAGGCCATGGCCCTGCAAAAAAGGCAAATGACAGGGAGCCACGTGTGCAGTGAGGAACGCGAGAGTTGCACTGCAACGACACGGCGACATGATGCCCCGTGGGGAGTGTCGATGCAAACCGGCACATCGCCTGCAGGAAGAGTTGCTTCTCCTGCTGAGCAAAAAGGGAAACGGCCTCAGAGTCCCGATAATGAGAGATCGTCTGCACCTCCTCGCGGCACATACACGCTCTGCAGACACGCAGATGACGCTCTGCTGCACGCATGACGGCCGTTACACCCTTCACAATGGCAATCGCATCCTGTCGCACCACACGCCGCAGTGGACGCGTACAGTCTCCGTCTCACTCCCTCCTGTCCCTCTCCCTGAGAACTCATTGGTGGCCGTGGCACACCCACCGACATGTCAGAAAGCAATTGTTTTTCTTCTTCCCTCGCACATCGCACAGCAGCACCGCCAAACGAAGGTCACTCCTCCTTTCGCGGATTCTCTTCACACAAACCTCACGCCACTGCCCTCCACCCGGCTCTGCTCATGCTGCCTTCTTCGGGGTATTCGCAGCAAACTCATTTTCATTATTGTCTTCAAACAGCATTTTGGTGCCGTCTTAACAAGACTCAAAAAAACCACTCAGAAATAGTCATCCCCGTTAAACGACTGTTACACAACCATAGAAGCCCTTATTAACAATCTATTCCTTTTTTGTTTTTCTTTCGTTTAACCGGAAAAAGGATTTGCTCACAAAAACACAAATGTTGTACGTGAAGTAATGCCTGACGCAGAAGCGAAGTTGAGGTATTAAAAAAATCCCTTTATTGGTGCTGTCTTTCACCCGAACAAGACGTTTCTTTTTTTTTTTTTCTTTCGTGGTGACGTCAAACAATTTTTAACAAAAGTGTCCACGCCATTCAACCATCCATTGTTGTTATCCCACCCGCTTCCCTCGGGCCACATCGCTCAACACACCGCCAGGGTGGCTGCCGAGGCTCACATCAATTTACCCCACAGAGAAGACGTCTTCTACGAGGGAAAGTCTGCTCACAATGGTGATGCGATAAGTCAGTCAGATTTGTTGTACGTTTTTCAACAAAATTCCTTCCACCCACTCTCTCTCTCTTCCAATACGAGTTCCCATTCTCCCCTCATTACAGAGGCACACGTTTTGCATTTCTTACCTTCTTCCCATCGTGGTCTGTGGACATTACGCCCAGACCGCAGTCCATTAACGTGACGTTCTCAAACAACTAGCCATTAAAGACGGACAAAATATTCTCTTTTTGATTACTGTTGTTTCGAATCATAAAATTTTCTCACGGCCGCAAAACACAGTGAGAATTTAGAAATACGGAAAAACAGACTCAAAAACAGACATACCGTTGAAGAATTTTGCATAAATATTATTTTGGCTGTAGTGCCGTCCATGGAGTCACATGTCATCCCTTTTCCTATCGGGGAAAAATGAGACGACCAATAAAACCGGAGACAGCTTCCTGGCCGTATGGAACGTACGAAAGAGAATACCATATTAAACATCCGTATTGTAGCAAACCGCAGAGGCTACAAAGGAGGGCGGACTTATAGGCGATAGCGACAATCCAAGTGATAATCAAGGAGCTAATGTAGAGCAGGGAAGAAGTGCGGCGGTACTCATCAAACATGTAATTAAGTTGCGCGCGGGGACCCATGAGTATAAAAGTACTCGCCAAAGACATGAGAGACCCCAAGGTAGATAAAACCGAGTACTTCCAATAGTACCCAATGCCCAAGGAGACCCAACCCATAAATGAAGAGAAAAATCCCAATGCCGTGAAGAGTACGTAACCCTGAATCCGTGAGGACCATGAAAGCCCCTGAAAACATTGTTCATCACTGTCGTTTACAACTTCATGATCCACCACCTCCACTGGTATCGTCATGGGTCCAAACTTTTACCCTACCCAAACTTGTTTGCGTTATATACGTTGATACTGAATCTTCACCTCTCTGTGTGTTTCAGTTATAATAATAATAATAATAATAATTCTTATAACAATTATTATTAGTTTTTCCATTACAAAAGACAGTTTCATCCAAATTAAAAAACAGAGCCGGCGGCAGAAACAACAACACATAAACACACACACACACGTTAATCAGCACATGTGTCAGAGAAAGGCTTTTTCTCCACTAAAGAAACATTCGTAATTCCCCTTCAGGCGTTCACAGTGTGTGTGGGAGATTAAAAGAGAATTATAGGCAATTTGAATTTCACGCATCCATGAGGGGAAAAAAAATAATAGAATAATAATAAAAATTCGTAGTAATCACAGGGCTGCCATGCCCACGAATAAATAACCTCACGTTAGCACACACTGTTTTTTTTTTTTTTTTTTTTTGCTAATATGCGGATTGCGGTATTTCGCGGGAACAGCAACCAGAACAAAACTTACATATGCCTCTGTACCAAAAAGCAAAAAAGAAATAATATCAAATACAAACACACACGACAAGTAAGAAACAGGTTAGGGATCCGGCCAGCTGTCAACGCAAATATTTTGTTTGAATATCTAAAAAAACCAAGCAAAACAGAAGGAAGGGGCGAACGGAGGGGCAGTGGGTTCGCAATCTACTCAGCGCTTGCCCCAACCACATATATGCATTTATATATATTCGGACTGCCACTCTCGTGACATGCTGCACGTTGTTGGGGTTAGAAATACTATGACTTACGAAGTGGCAGACTTCGTAGTCTGCCAGCCACAAGACACCGCCGCATGGTGGGAAATCAAAAAGGGGGCTGCTGGGAAGGCAAAAACATAAATAAGTCAATAATTTCTTCTCACCGCCATCGGCACCCTAATTACTTCCATCGAGGCCATCCAATCGACCACAAGACAGAGAAAAAATACCGCACAGAAATGTCTTCGTTTTATCAGAATACGTGTTATTTTAGGCAGCCAGCCCTCGTCGCAAGCATCCCGGTCACAAGCACCGAAGAATTACCGGCAAAAAATAAGGCCAAAGAGTGCGGTTCCCATCGATGTCAGTCCGTTGGCAGGATTTTTTTTAACACCGTTTTTGTATTCTGTCCTTTTCTGTTTGTGTGTGTGTGTGCTACCAGTCGGGCAAAAAAAAAAAGAAAAGAATGCAGTTTTCATCCTGCGCTCCGAGGTAACATACACGCACACACAAAAGAAAAAAGGATATGAAATCCCAAAAGAAATATATATATATATATTCATTAGTAATAATAAATTAACACTGCGGAGGAATACTCACAAGGTGAAGACAGGAAAAATAAAAATAAAATAAAATAAATAAATTATTATTATTATTACCATTCCTATGAACAGCGTCCCCCACTTATATTTATATTTATATTTATTTATTTTTTTTTTTTTTTTTTTTTCTTTTTTTTAAGGTTATATAAAAATTTCTGTCTAGATACAATACAAAAAAAGACATGTAGAAGCCTTTTCGTGTATAAAATGTGGAGAGAGGGAAAAGACACATATATCTATAGAGAGAGAGAGATGAAATAATAAAATAATAAAATAAAATAAAAAACTCTCTGGGACGGTAAAAAAAAAAAAAAAAAGGAAAAAAAAAAAGGGCATCCCACTGTGACTCTATAAGCGTGTCTGTATCTTTTGTATCTTCTCTCTCCTTCATTTCCTCACAAACAACACCTTGTCTTTCTCTTGTTTTGTTTTTTTGTTGTTGTTGTTGTTTTTTGGGGGGGATTCTATTTTCCCTTCATGCCTCTATTGCGTATCGCCAATCTTCACCGGATAAATAAGTTCCACGACTTTGTCCCACGTCATTGCATGCGTGCATTCTTCTAAAGTGCCATGTTCAGCGTGAGTGCATAAGACTATGTCTGCAACACGCAACTCAGTCTCCACAGTGGCACCGCCCTCGTCCGTAATGAGTTTGGCAGTGTTGTAGTGCCTGGAAGAAATGAATCCCTCGGTAAATCCAATGCGTTTTTGGAAGAGCGGAGGATGCTCGTGACGAAAGCCATAGGCGCTCTCATCAAGCCACCGTTGATCCCGCACCGAGTCACGCACGTAAACATCTGGCAATATCCAACACCCACGCACCAGAGCTGTGAGTAATTTGATAGTTAGCTGACCATTTGTGATCAAGTGCGTCAAATTGGAGGGAACTGGTGTGTTTGACCGGCACTCTGCAACTGTTGCATGGGGCAGCTGCTTTATTTCAGTCAACAACTCCGATGCATCAAATCCACTGATGGTAAAAACACGCGGTTCGACTGATCGACTCTTCTTTCTCGGGTGCGTTGTCAAGGATAGTGGCACGTTCACCGATGATGCACTCCGAAGTCTTTTTTCCACGCCATTTTGTCTTTGTGGAGTGGGAGACGTGGAGACATTTCGTAGTGAACGGCGTAGCTCCTCATCCAGACGTTTTTCCAGCAGCGTGCACCGATTTGTCGCGGCCGTAAGCTCAATATCAAGATTTTCCACCTTCTTGCACATGGAAAGATACTTGCCCCTGTATTCCTCCGCAATCTCATCCAATTGCTTCTTTTCACGGGTGAGTTGCTGCATGGCGTCTGCATCACATCGTGCCTCCTCCAACTTTGTTCGCAGCCCAGAGATTACACCTCTGCACTGTGTCTCATGCCTCATTTTCTCTTGCGCAGTGGATGAAAGCTCACCCCTCACACGCACAAGTTCTTCTTGGGTGGTAGCAAGCTGATCCTTTAGTTCTCGCAAGTCCTTTGCGTAATCAGCATCCGATGTGTCTTGTTGCTCCATGAGCCGTTGAACCCGTTCTTCGGCGTGGCCCAGAGCCTCCTGTGCCGCCTCTGCCTCTTTTGAAAGGGATATATTTTCTTGCTCCATTCTTAACGCGGTGTCCTTTGCCGTGGCAAGCTCCTTCTCCAAGTGACTGATGTGCTTCTCCCG